TGTAACAATGTTTCAAACTGCAAGCTCAGAGGCCGGCAGCGGCAGGCGGGGAAGTTGGCGTCCTCTGTCACTGAAGCAAGCAAGCCTCATGTTTGCTTCAAGCTGCCTGGCTGCCGGCCACCATCTTGGCTGGCAGTTAATTTGCATATCACCCTGATTAGCCAATGGGAAGGGTAGTGGATGTATGGCTAATTACCATGTTTCTCTTTTATTAGATAGGATTTAAAAAACTATATTATATTAAATTAATCTTTTTCTACATTATCTGGAATAGATGTTGGATTATTTTTCTTTTCACTTAATTACTTTACTTTTCCTCCTCACTTTATTTTTCCATATGTTTTTGGCATATATCTAACTTTTAATAAATCCTCTATGGCACTACTGATTCTCTCGCTGATTTCAGTGACTTGGTAAGATACGAAATTTTGTAGGATAATTTGGGTGAGTGAATAAGAGCAAAATGTTCACGTTTGCACATCTTAAATAAAGAAATAGGATATCTGGGTAGAGATAACTAGTCTGGAACTCAATTTAGATACCTGAAAAAATACATTTGCTAATTTATTTTCATATTTCCCATGCCTATCATGGCATTGATACTGGCACATATGAAAGAAGGCTTTGTTGACTTTTGTGATACTTGTGTTCCATTCATTATCTCATTTAATCCTTACTCTGATTCTATAAAGCATAAAAATATTTTTTTTGCATTCAATCAATGATAAAATTACAGTTTACAAACTTAAAAATGAAACTCACCAGCTATTAGTGATGGAAGCAATATTTGAACTTATTTCTTCTCTCCGTATAGATCTAGCTCTAAACTATCTGCAAAAATCTCTCAAAATATACTCATTGAGAAAATGAATGAATTACATTAGTGTAAGGAAACACACTGCTATATAAGACATAAAAATTAATAGGATACATAATAGTAAACAACAAACAAGAATATTTCTATAGGAAAAAACAAAACAATACACACATAAAAATCAGTTTTGAGGAATTAACATATTTGAACACACACAAATGATTTTTAAATATTTAAAAAATACATATCAACTTCAGTCAAAAATCGTAATTTCCAACTCAGTGAACTCTCACCCGAAGAAATGAGCAAAATGCAAAAGGATGTATTGCACAGATCATTTATACATGTGCTCAAAGTAGATTCCCTTGTGCTCCATAAAAAAAATTAATATTATTAATTAAGAAAATAATTATTTAATTAATGTGACCAATAATTTGTAAAAGGATGTATTGCACAGGTCATTTATACATGTGCTCAAAGTAGATTCTCTTGTGCTCCATAAAAAAATTAATATTATTAATTAATAAAATAATTATTTAATTAATGTGACCAATAATTTATATTCTTCAAAAGGGAATTTCATGTAAGTTTGATTTTGTGTCTCTCGAAATTTTATATAAATTCAGAAATCATAGTAATAGTGATAAAAGGCTACATTGACTGGACATTTATCAAGTAAAATAGAAGTAACCTCTGAACATTGTATATTAAGGGGTTAAGGGAGAGCAAATCTGCCACAATATCTTTAAAAAAAAGATCAGATATAGGAGAATTAAATATATTTAAAAGAGTATTCAATATTCTAAAAGTGAATAAGTGTAAGACTTCCATCATGCTAGACAATATTGCAAGGTAAAAAGCAAGTTTTCTGAAGCTCAAGTCCCTGGTTCAAATTCTACATTACTACTTCCTTGTGCCAGTTATGTAAGCCCTCTATCTCAGTTTAATAATTGATACAGTGAGCACAATAAACACCTATCTCACTGTATAGTTTTGTGGACTAAAGAAGTAAATATGTGTAAAGTGCTCAGTAAACAGGAAAACGCACAGTGATAATTTTTTGTAAATTAAGTCATTATTACAATAATAAATGAAAAGAAACTTGAGAATAATCATTTTTACATGAGAACTTTCAAACAGAGCATGGGACAAATAACAATGAAAAACATACCTGCTTGTATAAAATGCATTGTCCAGGGTATTGAGAAACTTTAAATTGTGACAATAATTAGCCTGGTCATTCCACATTTCAGGATATTAAAATGTTATCAATAAATATAGAATATGAAATACTATCAATAATAAATAACAATTGTTGCTAACAGTCATTGAAAGCTTCCTTTAAAGAGGCAGTCCTTTATTTATAAAAGGAAGAAAACATAAATGCGCAGCATCAAATATCTCTGATGAAAGACACAGCTGAGTGGAGAAATAACAGTCGGGGACAAGGTTGCAGGTATTGTTAATGCACTAGGACTTCATGAGACAGATTCTACCCACATGAATTTGTAACATATATTTCAGTTTTCAGAAATTTTCTTGTTTGGGAAGAAGAGACCTATCACTTGGTCCCGAATCTGTTTGGTCTTGACACCATATACCAAGGGATTGACTGTAGGGGGTACCAGAAGGTACAAACTTGCAAAAATTATGTGGACGCTTGGAGGTACCTTCTTGCCAATGCGGTGAGTTAGGAAGCTAAATAGTGCAGGTGTATAGGAGACAAGTATAGTGCAGACATGGGCAGCGCAGGTGCCCAGTGCTTTAGAGCGGGCATTCTGGGAAGAGAGCTGAAAGACAGCCTGGAGGATTTTGATATAGGATGTGGCTATGAGCCCTAGGTCCAATACCATCACTGAAAGGGCCACTGAGATGCCATAGGCTCTGTTAATGAGAGTATTGGCACTGGCCAACTTCACCACAGCCATGTGCTCACAATAGGTATGATTGATGACATTTTTGGTATAATATGGTAGCCTCTTAATGAGAAGAGGACAGGGCAAAACCATAAGGGTAGCTCGGGTCATGCTACCCAGGCCCATTTTAATGACCATGGTTGTTGTCAGGATGGTTGTATAACGCAGTGGGATGCAAATAGCTACATACCGATCAAAGGCCATGGCAACTAGGAGGGCTGACTCAATTATGCAAAATGTGTGAATTAAATACATTTGTGCTAGGCAGGTATTAAAGTCAATCCCATGAGATGCCAACCAGCAGTGAAAGTCTTGCAAACCAGGAATACCAACCAGGAAGAAAGAAGAGATGTAGTGATATGTAGAGTTGTCTGCCATGTTAAAACTCAATAAGTTGCATGCTCATGTACACAGGAGCCAGTTAGTTCTGCAGTGGAAGAAAGCAGTGTAACAGAGTGATTCTTCAATAGCTCAGCAAGTAGGAAATCCAGACACATGATTTTATAGCCTACCTGGAGGGCAGACTCCTCTTAAACCTCTGTCAGTAATCAGGTGTACCACTTCGCCATTCTAAGTTTCAGCACCTTCACCTGAAATGAGAAGACTGAGTTCACATCTTTCACATATTTTTCCCCACGTTTTGGAATTGTATTCAATTCTACACCGTAGTTATTATTTCCTATTAGAAGATAAGTTAGTAATATAATGGCCTCATTATTATGTCAAAGCCAACATGGATTATGTGAGATAAACAGTGTTGGAGAAAAAACAAGTTTTCTTTTCAAAGAAATATCAAATGTGTATACATAAACACACACACAATAAGTTACAGGTGTTTCAAAAATATTAAGACTCATTCATAGTGAGCATAGAAAAATAATCATGAATTTAGAATAAGATCTTCCAACCCTAAAATATAGAACAAACTTATAAAAATTAAAGCCAATCAATGCTTTATCATTGATCAAAGACAAATTTGTCCCCATTTTCAATGAATTCCTTAAGAATACCTGAAGATATACAGCATAACACAATTATATAAACAGAGAAAATTGAATATATTATTTCTTCATGCTGTCAAATGATTTAAAGTTGCTGCAAATAAGAACAATAGTTGTTAATAAGCCCAGACTATTTTCTGCAAAGCCCTGACTCCCAGCTGCAGACATCACTCCCTCTGTTTCTAGCATCTTTCCTGACTAATAATAGTGAAGGACAAAGCAAGTGCAATTCAGCCCTATTGGTCTTGGCAACAGGAGTAGTATCTTGTGACTCTTGCTCTGATCTTGTCCTTTTGTTTTGGTAACTGACCCCTATCGTTCTTCCTAGCATCCAGGTTCTTCCTAGTATCATTATTTTGGCATATGTACTTCACTCTTCTTAAAATGATTTTAAACTTATAATTGCTCCCAGGTCTCTATTTATGGTCCTGAATGCCACTGATGTAAAAACTCAAGATATATTGGTAAATACTATTAATGCAATGATTCCTTGTGTAGAGGAGTAAATGTAAATAATGTGTGTATGTGTGTGTGTGTGTGTGTGTGTGTGTTGTGTATTGGGGGATGGAATGATCTATTATTCCTTGTTAAAAATTAAAGATTTTTTTATTTAATTTATAAAAATTCAGAGCTTAAACTGTAGAAACAATAAAGAAACTTAGTGTTGTGAAAATTACTGCCTAAGGGGATGAAGTCTATAACCCAAGACAAAGATAAGAATTTAGGACAAAACCAGCAAATAATAAACATTCAGAGTATGAAGAAATTTTAAGTATTTATCAAACTCTTGCTGTTTGCAAATTCTCAAATGATTGTTTTCCACTTGGAAATTTGGTTGGCCAAGTTCCATTCTTATATTTGCTTCTGGGAGAATCAAACATACAAAAGGCTAACCCACCTAAGATTACAAACAAGCATAATCATTCTTGATAAACATATGTAATTATTTTAAAATCATCTTTTAGTTTTTAATAAACTAACTTACAGGATAGTAACATGTCATCCACACCAAGAGAAAAGATGCACTTACAAGATCATAACATGCCATCTGTACCACAAGAAAAGCAGTGAAGTGACCTTAACAATGGAAGCTTCCAGTCAGAGCCATAGAAGGTGGCAACCAGAGGAAATTACGAACTACCCCAAATCGTGGTCTGCTCAAAAAATCTTCTCTGTCTTCTCCCAGGCTTATTTTGAAAAAAAAATTTGAAGAAATGCATTTGTTTCAATAAGGTTATTCTTTATATTATCTTCAGCAGCCTGCCAGGTACCCCAAATACCTGCCCAGACCTCTCTAATTTTCTATCGGCAATACCATTCCATCTGCTTCTGAACCATATAAGTGCCTTCTTCTGAGCTTTGCTATTATGTCTGTTTCTGAGTCAGTCAGCATTTTCTCTTGCCTGGAACCTGCCACTTCAGAATAGAGAACTGTATTGGAATACAGTGGTCTTTTCTCTGCAGTCTCTTTTGAATACATTATATATTTTATATGAAGGTATTGAAATACCCCAAAGTAAACTCCCATTCTCTTTTATCCAAATGTATCTTATTTGTTGGCAACAACAGATAACACCCAGCCATTAGGAAATCTCAGAACTATCCTTGCCTTCTCTATTTCTACCACTCCAGTCAAGCAGCCACAAAGTCTTCATTTCTGTTAAAGATTTTACCATGTGCTCTTCCTGTTTTCACTTGCATGTCATCGCTTTCATTAGACTGTGAATACCCAAAGGAAGGCACTTAATCTCAGTAAACTCTCAGTGGAGGCCAAGGGAAGATCTGATGTTTCTCTATGATCTCCACAGTCCCTCAAGAATTTCACAGATTTTATCTTGCTCTAAAGGCTTCTGACCCACCAGCAATAATTTGTTCATAGTCATTGCCTACCCTTCATTTATTTCGGCTGCCATCTTAGAATATGATTTATTTTTAATTTTTTCTGGTTATGAGTTACATAAATATTAGAATTTTATTTGGTTCTTCCTCTCCAAATCTCACTCCTGAAAGACCCATCCTTTCTCTTATTACTGTGTGACATCATTTACATATTTGTAAATCTTCCTTTTCCATTTTACTTTCAGATGTTTTATCTTGCCGTAACCGGTTTGGCTCAGTGGATAGAGCGTCGGCCTGCAGACTGAAAGGTCCCAGGTTCGATTCCGATCAAGGGCATGTACCTTGGTTGTGGGCACTTTCCCAGTAGGGGGTGTGCAGGAGGCAGCTGATCGATGTTTCTCTCTCATCGATGTTTCTAACTCTCTATCCCTCTCCCTTCCTCTCTGTAAAAAATCAATAAAATATATTTAAAAAAACACACAACAAAACAGAGAGAAAGGAAGAGGGAGAGAGAGCTAGAAACATCAATGATGAGAGAATCATTGATTGGCTGCCTCCTGCATGCTCCCTACTGAGGATCGAGCCTGCAACCTGGGCATGTGCAATTGACCAGAATCAAACCTGGGACCCTTTAGTGGGCAGGCCAAGGCTCTATTCTCTGGGCCAAACGGGCTGGTCCCAAACATTAATTAAGCCCTTTGGGTTCATCCAAATCTATTATCTATGAAATCATTTCTACAACTTTCAGTCATTTCCTTGCTCTCTTCTTTTCTTATTCCCCATAGGCTAAATGCAGAGAAATTAACATACAAAAATGTTCTTTTTATAAGCTGTTATTTTTCTGCCATCCCCATTTACCAACCCCCCCCCCAAAACAAACCTAAAGTCTTCTTAGATATAGGCATGTTCCTCTACCTGAATTCTACTTTAGTAATTTAATTATGATGTTTTTGAACTTCAAGTTAAGATATAGAGCTGTTACTATCAGGCATTGTGAAAATTGGCTGTGGGGTTTACATATTCATCAGATTTGATAGAAAAGTATGACTTTAATAAAATCTAGGTGCTTATTGAGCAAATTCTACCAGGAACTATGCTAATTGTTTTACATGCATCATTTTATTTAATTTCTGTTCATTTGTTTTGTTAATCCTCATCTAAAGATATTTTTTCCATTGATTTTTAGAGAGAGTGGAAGGGAGGGAGAGGGAAAGGGAGAGTTTGATGTAAGAGAACACATCAATTGGCTTCAGCATGTGCCTCAAGGGCGGGGGATCAGACCTGTAACTCAAGTACTTGCCCTTCACCTGGAATGGAACCCACGACCCTTCCCTGAATGAACCAATGCTCTAACCACTGACCCACATTGGCTAGAGCCATTTTATTTATCCTTAAACCATTTTTCTTTGTGTGATTTTGATAAATGTATATAACTTTTTAAATTTTTTTCATTTGTGTAATGAGATAAATACTATCTAATTTACAGAATTGTCTTGGAAATTACCAATATTTATTGTTCTCAAAAGGCTTTTGAACTACCTTAAAAAATTAAAAGAGTAGGCCTTAGCTGATATGTCTCAGTTGAGTATCTTTTCATGTATCAAAAAGTCACTGGTTCAATTCTTGGTCAGGGCATATAACCAAGTTTCAGCGCACATGTGGGAGGCAACAGATCTTTCACACTGATGTTTCTCTCTATATATATCCCTCTCTCCATTCCTCTTTTTCTAAAAATCAATAAAAATATACATGTTTTTTAAATTAAAGACAAGGCTATTAAAAATATGTAAACCCCTTTTAATGATTCCACTCAATTGAGCACTTTCAAAGATAGATATATAAAAATAGAAAATGCAATAATTTGAATGAATTAGATAAAAGTAGAAAAGAGAGAAATTATGCCACCCATCACCTTATACAGTTATCATTTATTCCAAAACAGGAACCTCCCTTAATTACTTTGTTGACTAAAAATCATTCAAAATTCTATGGTTTATGATGATATTCATGGCTGTTAGTGGAAAGTCAAAATAACTTGGGAAAACAACAACAACAACAAAATGAACTTTGCAAGCCCTGTCGAGAAGAGTAACCTCAAGATTTTCTTTCCCTTTCCTTATTACCTTTCTGTGACCAGAAGGTGTCTACTACTTAGTGATTTGTGTTACCCAAGACCATTACAAAAGCATGGGCTTGTTTTTTTAGTCATTTCATCCTAAAACCATTCTTTTCAGATTGCTATTTATTTTTTCTAACCTTAGCTCAATTAAAAATAAAATGGTGTCCTAAAGTCAAATCATTTTTCAACCAAATCATTCTGACCAACTGAAAGTTAGTAATGTTTCATGGCACACATTTAATAAAGATTTAATATCACCATTAGTATCTTGTTTTTATTTTTTATTTAAAAAAATGTCAAACATATACAAAGTAAACTGATTATTAAAATGAACTTCTATCTATCCATCACCCAGCTTCAACAATGATCAACATTATGCCATTCTTGTATCTTCTATACTTCCACTCACCTATAACCCAATGATTATTTCTATTGTTATTATTAGTCTTTTAATTATTATTATGAGTTTAGAGGTAAAATTGATTATATTGAAATGCATAAATTTTAGCAATACTATTTTGACAAATGGATACAATCTTGTAAGTTGCATTTAACACACCATAGAGTATTTTTAACAGACCAAAAAATTCCTCATGTGTTTCCTCAGTCAGTCTTCCACCTCTACACTGTTCTATTGGTTTTGACACTAAATTAGTTATATTTGTTCTTCAACTTCATATAAAGATAAAAATACAATACATAATCTTTTTCTCCTGATTCTTTTCACTCACAAATATGTATCACTAAATTTTGCATATCTGGAAGCAAAAGCCTCCAAGGAACCATTCTACTTATTTTCAAGGGGAAAAGAATGAATTTTATATTCAAGGACTCAATAAACCAATGGTGTCCTCACTAGGGAAAAAAACCAGGTCCCACATTTCCTTTGATAAGCTTACGTCAAACTAATGACATTCTCTATTCTCAAGGAAGAAGGCGGGGGGCAGGGGTGCTAGTTTACTTTTCTCCATCTACTAAAATATATAGCTCATTCATAAGCAATAGAAACTATAAAATTCTTCCCATTTGCAATGCTAATATCCAATCAATAGGTCTGATCCAAGTTCCTGTGTTCTTAGGGTATTGTCTGTTTGATTAGACCTCATTCCTCTTTCTAGACAGTGTACGAACAATGCTATTGCGAATTTCCTTGGTTTTGATGCTGTAGACAATGGGGTTGACCATAGGTGGGAAGAAGAGGTATGCATTGGCCATGATAGTCTGCAGAAGTGGAGGTAAATGCCGTCCGAAGCGGTGAAACAAAGAGAGGCTGATCATGGGAACATAGTACACAAGCACAGCACAGATATGTGACACGCATGTGTTGAGTGCCCTCCACCGTCCTGCCCCAGAAGCTATTCCCAGTACTGTGTGAAGAATCAGCATATAAGAAACGACAATGAGCAGTGAGTCCAACCCAAATGTGGAGATAACAACAAACAGACCCAGGATGCTATTGGGGTGGGTGTCTGCACAGGGCAATTTGATCAGATCTGAGTGGAGGCAGTAAGAGTGTGTGAGGGTGTTGTGACCACAGAAAGGCAGACCCTTCAGGAGAAAGAGCAGTGGTAACATGAGCATCACACTTCGCAAGGCAATGGTGGCACCCATGCCAGCGATGCGGGGAATTGTCAGGATGGTTGTGTACCGCAGTGGGCTGTAAATGGCCACAAAGCGGTCTACAGACATAGCCAGAAGGACACCTGACTCCATAAGGGTAAAAGAGTGCATGGAAAACATCTGGAGCAGACAACCACCAAAGCTGATACCATGAATGCCAAAGAGGAAAATGCCTAGCACTGTGGGTACGGTGGAAGCACAGACCCCAAGTTCAACAAGGGCCAGCATGGCCAGAAGAAAGTACATGGGCTGATGCAGCACAGGGTCAATCCGGATGATATGTAGAATGATGCCGTTTCCTATGAAGATGATGATGTACATCAGGCAGAAAGGGATAGATATCCAGATGTGCTCTGCTTCCAGTCCTGGGATACCAACAAGAGTAAATGTTGCAGGCGTGAATTCAACGGAACCATTGGAAATAACATAGTGAGATTTCACCTGAAGGTATTGGGAAGCACTGGAAGGCTGGAAAAGATATAGCACTTGTCAGTTCTTGTACATTAAATTCAGAGCTCCGGATAGTCATAGTTAAGACATTTTCTTAAAAAGATGAGAAACTTATTTCTTAAAGAAGGAGACATAAAAACCATAGTGTATGGAAGAGAAATCTGATTAGATGTGTGGAAGAGTATTCCCTCAAGGGCAACAGGCCAAACACAGAAGGCAGTAATAAAAATCTCAAGCTGCGTCATTTATGGCAGTGAAAGGCAGTGATAGATAATGAGCACAAAGACCACAATTTCATGTGAAAATTAGGGACTGAAGGACCTGATAACCTTCTGTAGTTTGTACAGGAGTAACTGAGCAGCAAAAATGATAAAATAGTAGTAAAGAGCATTCTTGGTTCTAATATTTTATATACATGTGATCTTGGGGATGTCACATATCTCAGATCCAGGTATTCAATAGAAACACAAAAATAGTGATATAAGATGATATATATAGTTTATCATTATATTTGGGCCATGTTACATATTTAATGCACTAAATAAGAAAAATAACATATTTGAAAACTGGGATAGTTTCTCCCACTTTGTAATATTTTTCAGTGTATGTTTTTTTTAACTTACCAGTTCACTCTTTCTCCACCTGCTATCCATGGATGATGGGGAAAGCTTTTCTGGAAAAGCTTTGCAGGAGTGTCAGTATCTCCTGCTGGGCGGTGGAGTCAGAGCTGAGTGTAACACCAAAACCATCAGGGTCTCACAGGCTGAATCAGATCATGGTACTGGTTTTCAGAGCTAGGGTTTTTTATCTGTGAACAAGTTTATTACATTAAAACTCTGCTCAACTGTAGCAGAGCATCAGATTAAGATTAGGGGCCAGAAATGGAATTCAGAATGGGGCTCAGAAACGGCAATGGTGAGTGAGAGTGAATTCTTCCTCTCAAATGGGATGGGGTCCTCGGTTAGGTATAACCAGAGGAGTGCTAATAAATATTTAACAAGCAGTTCTCTGAGTGAAAAATGCCCTGATCTGTACCAGTTACCAATTTATTTGGTTAAATACTTCTACTTTAATGCTACCACCATAATGCCACTGAATGTAGATCTGAGATGTTTATAATCAGTTTTCCCAAAATGGTACAAGCCAGTATCAGCATATCATGAGGCAAACTACAGTTAGCTAATCCTAGATGTCAGATACATACTCATCCAGATGGAACTGAGAGCAGGCACATCCATCCACGCACCCCCTTTCTTGCTGTTTCCTTCTAATTGGGCTGAGGGCACAATTTCTATGTCTACTTATATGTGCTTAGCTCACTGTCAGGGGAGGCAAGAGGAGACAGGTCTTGAAGGAGCAATGACTCATGACTAATTATTCTTAGAGACTTCAGCTAGATTCTAGAGAAGGTAAAAGAATGAGTCTCACTGAAAGGCATGCCAAAAATACACATAAGTGAATGCATATACAAAAAAGAGGAAAATAACACAAATTTAATTTTTAAAACCTTAAATTATAATTTTGATGTAGAACAATTATTTATATTTTAGATATTTTGAATATGGCTTTCTCTTGTCTTTGAACTTTGTTCATTTTGTCACACACATGTCATACAAAATTTTATGTAGTCAACTTAACATATTTTATGACATATACTTTTCATTCTTAAGAAGCTATTCCATACACAAAGTAAAAAATACAGTAATAATGGAAGAAATAGAACAGTAAATATAGAAAATGATATAGGAAGATAATAATAAAAGGGAAATAGAAACAGTAATAGTGAAAAAGAGCAATAGAAGACAAAGATGAGAGAGAGAGAAAGAGAGAGAGAGAGAAGAAATAGAAACAATAATAGTGAAAAAGAGCAATAGAAGACAAAGACGAGAGATAGAGAGAGAGAGAGAGAGAGAGAGAGCGAGAGAGAGAAAAGAAATAAAACTTTAACTTCATTTGGAGTTTGTTTTGAGGACTTGGGTGATTAGGGGTTTTATTTAATTATTCTCAAATATGTAAATAATTTATTTAATGCTATGTATTAATTGGTGGCCTGTTCTTCAACCATTTTGAAGGCTGTATATTCTACTAGTATTTTGATTTTTATATACATAAAATATACTTATTGACTGTGTAGTCTGCTCTTTGATCTGCATATCTGGTTTGTCACACCTCACTGATGTAATTATTCTGTTTTTATAGTATATAAATTCACATCTAATTGGTTGTTATGTTTTTAAATTCCTGCTAATTAACAGACTAGTGGGCTGATCATATTGTAAATAATAAAAGTGTTGAATCACTATATTGCAAACCTGAAATAAAGGTAGCCAATGTAAGATTGCATATCAATTATACTTAACTAAAAATAAATTTTAAGAAGTGGAAAAATTCTTGCTGATATTTGCATATTTATTCTTTCAAATAAACATTAACAACCAGCTTTCTAGTGCATAAAATTACAACCAACATGTATAAAAACAGAGCAAAGTACTAAATATCTATACTAATAAAAGGGTAATATGCTAATTAGACTGGACATCCTTTCAGACAAAGCCACAGTGGTGGGGGCTGAGGCAGAGGTGGTTAAGGGAGATCAGGCAGGCAGGCAGAGTGTTTAGGGGTGATCAAGTAGGCAGACCAGCACTTAGGGGTCATCAGGTAGGCAGGCGAGCAGTTTGGGGCAATCAGGGAGGCAGACAGCCCCTTGCAGGGCTGGCCCCGCCCCCAAGCAAGTGGTTAGGGGCAATCATGCAGGCAGGCAGAATGGTTAGGGGCGATCAGGCAGGCAGGCAGGTGGGATAACGTTGAATTTATAGATTTTTTTGAAGAGAATCTTATATAATAAAAGACTAATATGCAAATTGTCCCCATGAGCAGGAGTTCAACCAACTGGGAGTTAGATGTGCGCTGACCACCAGGGGGCGGCGTGGAACATGGTGGGTATTGGTGATGCGGTGCTGGCAGCGGGCGGCTTTGGAGGCAGTGCCAGCCCTGATGGGCCCAGATGAGAGCAGGACCGTGGCGCGATGGTGGAGCAGGTGATTGGGTGGTGCCAGTCAAAGGAAGGTGTGAGCAGGGGGCCCCAATTGCCCTGCTGGTCACTCCACAGGTCAGCCCTGATTGCTGGCCAGACCTAGGGACCCTACCTGTGCACAAATTTCATGCACCAGGCCTCTGGTTATTATTATAATAAACAATATGTAATGTGCATTTCCTACATTTATTTTCAGCACATATATATGTTTTTTACCATTTTGAACGAGGTCATTTCTATTTAACTTTTTCATTAATAATTACTGTTATAGAACATTATTGAATTTTCCTCAAGCTTTATTCAGGTATAACAGATAATCACAAAATGTATATATTTAATATGTAAAACCTGATGACCCAATTTAGGTATACATTGTGAAATATTCACCTACACCCGTGGTTGGCCAACTGCGGCTTGCGAGCCACATGCAGCTCTTCGGCCCCTTGAGTGTGGCTGTTCCTAAGCCTTAGAAGTACCCTAATTAAGTTAATAACAATGTACCTACCTATACAGTTTAAGTTTAAAAAATTTGGCTCTCAAAAGAAATTTCAATCGTTGTACTGTTGATATTTGGCTCTGTTGACTAATGAGTTTGCCGACCACTAACCTACACCATGCTAATCAACATATCCATCACTTCATTGCTGTACAAGTTTCCTTTTTCTCTTCTTCTTTAATTGTAGCTAAAATACCCAAGATTTGCCCCCTCGGCAAATTTCATGTACATAATATAGTATAAACATTATGCCTTTTTAAGTTGTTTTTATAGAACTCTGTTGACTTTCCTATGCTTTATAGATTAAAAAAATCACACCACCTGAAAAATAAATAAATAAAAATTAATAAACAAAATTCAGATTAGTCTCTTTTCTTGTTTCCTGTAGTTCTCTGTTATATATTAGATAAAAACCTCCATTATAACACAGTATTCTGCAGTAGTTTTGACACTGGTTGTCCTGGTCTTGTTACTCGCTTTACACTTTTGGATACCTTTTCTTAACATTCTGTGCTTTTATGTCATAGAGCTTCATCATATACAAGGCCACTTAGGGCAGAGGAATAACCATGAGGAGGCAGATTTAGACTTCTCAGTGATGGCGAACCTTTTGAGCTTGGCTTCTCAGCATTTTGAAAAACCCTTAACTTAACTCTGGTGCTGTGTCACATATAGAAATTTTTTGATATTTGCAACCATAGTAAAACAAAGACTTATATTTTTGATATTTATTTTATAGATTTAAATGCCATTTAACAAAGAAAAATCAACCGAAAAAAATGAGCTCGCGTGTCACCTCTGACACGTGTGTCATAGGTTCGCCATCACTGGACTAGGTAGTGCCTCTAAATCTGTCTCTGGGGAAAAGCTACAGTTCAAATACTGAGATAATATATCCTTTGGATCTCTGAGTTTCAAAGTCTGATGACAAATTATCAGTCTCTCCCTCATATAAAGGACTCTTCTCACTTCATTTTAAAAACAATTTTATTTTTAGAGCCAAAGAGGAAAGGAGAGAGAGAGAGAGAGAGAGAGAGAGAGATTTATTGTTCCATTTGTTTATGCATTCATTGGTTGATTCTTATATGTGTGCCCTGATTGGGGATCAAACCAGCAACTTTGGAGTATGGGGACTATGCTCTACCTAACTGAGCTACCAGACCGGGGCTCTTCTCACTTTATTTAGCCAACTCACAGCACCCTTATTTTAAAAGTATATATTCTCTCTGAAAGAGGATGTCAGTTGTCCTAAGCCCCTTCAGAACTCCTCATTTCCATTCTGTGTGGCATTCTGTCTCTCGTAGTCATTGTTAACTAGCTGAAGATTTAATAGTCAAGGAGCAGCAGACAAAAAAAGCCTCCTTCAAAAATTTCTGGGCCAGAGCTCAGTGATACTGCATTTGGGAGCTAAGCATAGACAGTGATCTTCTAACTCTGTTCAGCATCTACAAATTCCTGGCGCCTCAACCTCAAGATTTCTTTAAAATTAAGGCTGTAAATTTAATCATATTTTGTTCCTCTATCATACATTCTGAATTTGAAATTGGCATTTCTTAGTTTCCCATTGCCAAATGGGAGCATAAAAATGTCTCTAGGACACTTAATTGTGAATTCTGTTATCATGCTCTAATCTATTGATTCATTCCTTGAATAATTTGCCCTTGAATCAGCAACTTTTATATTTTTTAATATATTTTTATTGTTTTCGAGTGGAAGGGAAAGGGAGAGAGAGAGAAATATCAATGATGAGAGGGAATTATTGATTGGCTGCCTCCTGTACACGCCAACTGGGAATCCAGCCCGCAACCTGGACATGTGCCCTGACCTGGAATCGAACAGTGACCTGCTGGTTCCTAGGACAAAGCTCAACTACTGAGCCATGCCTGCTGGGCCAGAAACTTCTTACCTGCTGCAACTTCTATCAACATTTTATGTGACTTCAGTATCTAGGATGGTGACCCATTCCAATAATTTTTCTGAGGATTATTGGAAGCAGGCCTAGGTTGTTTGGTGGACTGGGTTCTTTAATGTATTTATTCAGAAGAATTATCATCACTATCAAAACAAAAAAATACATAATAAGTAAATATTGAATACACCATATGACATATTTCATTTAATTA